TATTTCTATTCTATCTACTTGTTTTCTTTTTATTTATTAAAATAAAACTTGACCCTCTAACACTGGTACTCTCTATTCTATTTTATCTACTTGTTTACTCTTTATTTATTTTTATTTTTTTAAACTTGACATAACACTAATACTAGTGTTCTCTATTCTTCTTATTTTCTATCTACTTGTTTTCTTTTAATTTATTATAAAAAATAATATTAATAACATAAGCCTCTAACACTAACTGTCCTATTCTATATCTATTCTATCTACTTAAAAAAAATAAAAGTAATAATTAGCACAGCGTTCATTGGCCACTGTAGAGTCAGAAAATTCTATATAATTACTTTTCACATGAAAATGAACATTTTAATTAACACAAATACATAAATAAAAGAGGCCATATAAGATATTACAACAAAAATGACATATAGGTTGCAATGAGCTCACCGATATTCTCAGCATGTTGTCCTGTGGACTGAGCGGCCAATAGCAGAGCCTGTTTGCAGGGCTCGGGCTGCAGGTAACTGCGCAGGAGCTCGTAGCTGAGCAGAGGCCCGGGGATGAAGATCTGCGGCGAGGTCAACCTGCTGGGAAACGCTGGGAAGAAGTGTGCAGCCGAAGAGTGGAAGACTGCAGAAGACACCAAATGCCCAGTGCCAAACATGGCCCACGTTCAGCAAGGTCCTTTTGGTCCAGAAAGAGCTCCAGAAATAGATGTGTGTATGTGATGGTCTCTTTAGGCGTTGAAGTGTTACAGAAGAACAAACCAGAGATCCAGCAGCAAGAGAACTTCTTAGAAGATCCAGAGTCGAGACAACTTTTCTCACCTGAGTCAGGTGTGAGTCCCACCCTCTCCCTGAGTCACATGACTCACCTATGACCACTAATCCTAGTAAAACAGGGCCGGGTTTGAAGGAAATCACCCAATCATAGGGGACCATTGATTCCATGCTTCATTTAAGAGAGGCTTCTTACAGCATCACTCTTCAGCAGACGTCCAATGGTGACACCTAATGCCTCCTAATCCACACCTCGGTTACTCTGAAAGAGTAAATGAGTAATATCCCACCATTTCTATTTAGGGAGGAGTACAGTATATGGAAAGGCCTGACATTCTGAAGTGTTCCATAAGACAAGTTCAGGCACTCTTCAGCTTCTGTGTTCACTTATTAATATGAAAAAAGCAGACTTTTGGAATTGGAGTGTGGCGAGAAAATTGGGGAAAACACCGTTCCTAAGCTACAAACGCTTTCAAAGACACGTACAACCGCCAGAGAGACCTGTTTGTCACTCT